AACCTATCATGGGTCCTATGTATCTCAATTTTCAGAGACTGGACTGCCTAAGCACACTTCAAAACAAGCAGAAATGCCTTGTCAGCAACCACCTATGAGTCCAGTGCAGGTCTGGGTCCTCTCTTTTTAAAGCATGTATGGATGTTTTGCCTGCATGTATGTTATGTGCACCACATGCACGCATGCTTGGTGCCCAAGGAGACTAGAAGGTGGAACTGTAGTTCCAGTTTTGAGACGTGGTGCTGGGAATCAAACCTTGCCCTTTTGAACAGCAATCTGTGCTCTTAACCATTGACCATCTATAACCCCAACCTCTTTTTTTTTTTTTTCTTCTGGTTTTTTGAGACAGGGTTTCTCTGTGGATTTGGAGGCTGTCCTGGAACTCGCTTGGTAGTCCAGGCAGGTCTCGAACTTACAGAGATCCACCTGTCTCTGCCTCCCGAGTGCTGGGATTAAAGGCGTTCGCCACCAACGCCCGGCTAACCCCAACCTCTTATATCATATATTCTTTCAAAAGCTTAAAATGCTAGTGGCAGTAAATAGGACAGGAGCCCTGGCCTTTCCTGAAAGGGCCTTTTCTGCTCCTGTTGGCAGAAGAGAGAGCAGTTGTCAGGGGCAGCTAAAGGAAGGGTCAATAACCTGCAGGGGAGAGTCAAAGGTCACAGGCTTTTAGCAGGCTGGGATTCCCAGTAATCAGATCAGATCTAGGGTCCTAAACTGAGGTCACCTTATGTAGGTCATACAGTTGACAGGATTGCTTTGGAGAGTTTTGGGGACTTGGTTCTGTGGAAATTCATGATTATGGTCTCTTTACTCTGTGATAACTTGGTAAATGAGATTGCTAGAGGAATGGCAAATGGCCATCACTTACAAGCCTTGAGTTTTTCTAAATGTATAGAACAAGAAAAAATATAACACACTTGGTTTTATTTCAACTTAGCACTGGTTGTTTTCTAGAGTCACACGTCTTTCACTCACCATAGCAGGTCTAACAGAAGACAGTTAAAGCCACCTAGGTTTCTCTCACAGCTGGGTGCTTTTGCTAAATGATCTCCTTTATTACTAGTTATGTAAGAATAGTCATTCCTTTATGAATCTATCAACAATGAAGGGAAAAAAAAACCCAAACACCAATCTGAAAACCACAAATATTTCACAAAACACAGCCAAACTACAAGTATCAAAAAATATTTAGGAGGATTTAATTTTATTCACAAAACCATTTATATTATGGGATATCATCCTGTCACACACACACACACACACACACACACACACACACACACACACACACACACACAGACTGAATACAAGCTAATCCAGACACAAAAAGAATGTCTGATTCTCTGAAATAGGCAAACTCAGAAAGACAGAAAGGGAAGAGGGGGATGGGGTGGCAAGATAGGGGGACTGCTCACAGGTCTCTGATGAACTCACTGTGGTGACTTGTCTCCCTAACTGTGGCCACAATGTTAGACTATTGCCTCAAAACAAAACAGAAGTAGCAGATCGTGGTGGAACCAGCGACCCTTTAATCCCAGCACTGGGGAGGCAGAGGCAGGCAGACTCCTTGAGTTTGAGGCCAGTCTGGTCTACATGGTGAGTTCCAGGACAGCTAGGGCTACATCAGGTCTAAACAAACAGTAACAAGAAAAAGCAGCAAGAAGTGATAATCATTTGTTGTGAAAGTTTCTTAGAGAAATTGAAACATTCCATCCTCTAAGAAGCTCCTTAAAGCAGAAAGGCAAGAAAAAAAAAAAAAAAGATTCAGGAAGTCCCTGAAACTAACCAGATTCTCTAGGCCCCTCCCTGCCAGAATAAAAGCTGACACTCCCCTCAGACAGAATGAAGCTGAGCTGAAAACAAAAAAACAAAAACAAAACAAAACAAACAAAAACAAAAAAAACAAACCCTCACACACCAGACCATCTGCCTGGGAGGGTTTCAGAACAACCAAGGCACCTGGAAAGGGCACTTTCCAACCTGTTGAGCTACTTGCAGGCTGTGCAGAGTGTGTTTCAGGTTCCTAGTCTGTGGGTTGTCCCCATGCTGGGGTAGGCTTTAGTGATCTGGCTGTCTTTGAGCCATCTCTGCTCCTGTGAGTAACTCCAAACTGGACCTCTGCTGGTACACATACTTTAATCTGGGTGGCTTCCCTGTCTAGTGTGAGTAGACCAGTGTGTTGCATCTCCGCAGGAAAAGTTGTCAACAGAACATCACTGCAGTATTTGATGATAAAGAAGCTACTCAACTATGAAAACCAAGAGAGGAGGTGAAGGGTCAGGCCTCTATGCCCTCTACAAGTAATGGTTAGAGTGCTTTGCTACTGTTTCATTCAAAACGGGACCTCCACAATGCTGTCACTCTCAAGTTCATGGCGGTAACAACTGCACAAAAACAAAGACCTACAAAACCCAAGTGTCTGATTTCCACAAATTCCTACTAAGACGTGTTAAAAACCCAACACCCCAAGAGGTACAAATTACTAGCGTCTTAAGACTACCCAACCCTATTGTTGTTGGCTGGTGGTGGTTCCCACCGCTAATCACAACACTTGAGAGGCAGAGGCAGGCTCATTTCTGAGCTCTGTCCAGCCTGGTCTTCAGATGGAACTCCAGGACAGCCGGGAAACACAGAGAAACTCTGTCTCGAAAAATAACAAGACTAACCACATGCACAACTATTTTTACAAGGGCTACAGGTAACTAAGTTTGGTACATATGTAAATCTGTGGCTTCCTAGTTTAGCCAATCTAATATAATACATTAATTCAATAAACTATACAGTGTGGAGTTGTAACTCATGCCTAGGATCAAATGAGATCCATTCCTGTCACAGCAACATACATGACATTTTTAATTTAGCTAATCTTCCATTTCTTCGCTTATTGTACAGCCTTAATTCAGTTCTGAAGATCAAATTATTTTCAGAATCTGAACTTGGGACATGTATAATTGACCACACACCACTTAGCTCCTTTTTGGTAAAAACTGCAAGCCACAAAGGCAAGGAAGAAGGATCATTTACCACCAAGACATTTCTGAGGAAATAGGTCATCCCTTACTATTGCCATCAAATATTTATATCTACGCGGTTTTTTTTGTCTTTTTTTTTTTTGGCAGACTACTCAGTAACACACTAGACAATTAAGGTTTTAAAAAAATAGACATTAAAACGCCCCCAAGCTGCTCTATGTGCCCTTGTAAGTCGTCAGTCACACAAGGGCAGTAGCGACTAAACACTGACTTAATTGCAAACTAACCCACATTAGTCAGGCCCCTCACTTTCCCCCCTAAACTGGACGATACACAGTACTTCCACTATCAATACCACACACTACCAAGTTTTTGGTTTTTCCCCTGTCTGGAAAAGCAAGTTAACAATTTGGTAAAATCAAAAGCCAAACAGGTAAAAGAAGCTGTTTTATGTAGTTAATGTACTTGGTACTCCAAATTTGGTAAATTCATCTACAGCCTCAAACCTGCTTTCATTATTCTATTTCTACTAAAGGGGAGGGACAGGCTTTTAGTTTCAACATGTCAGCACACAAACTACTAGCCACCAAAAACGTGTGGAAGAGGCCGTCTGATTTACTATTAGGTACTGGCTGATTCAGTTTTAGGTAAACATACAGTTCCTGATAGAGTCGAACTGCAGAGCAGATCCTAACCCGAGACTCATTCAGTGTATAACAGCGCACCAAGGAGCACTTCCTACTACATTTCCGTAGGGTTCTCCCTTCTCTCTGAACCACAGAGCCGTCAAATTTACTGTCATCTTGATACTACTACTAGACCAGGTTTTCCGTTTAGGATCTTCATCTATTTCACTCATTCCTCTGAATTTTAGCATTTTAATAAATCGCATCATATTGAGGCTCCGCCCAAACATGAGAATTAAGTAAAGCGTTAAGGGCCTCCCAAACTCAAATTTTATCATCCCAAGACTACGTGAACTAGCTACGTTGCATTATCCTGTCTAGGTAGTACCCCAACAATGAAGCTGGCTAGCATGTTAACGTAGTACTGGACAAAACGAACAGTTAACAGCTTTTCCGTTCCTCTAACAGTTTAGGATATTTGGGGTGCTACATAGTCCTCCTGACTTTCGATAAAACCTGTTTGTTAGTAAAACAAATTAAGCACTTTTTGTAAATCTTTTCACGGGAAAAACAAGGAACACTGTTTATAAAGTAAAAAGGCTACAGATATTGGAAACTGCGATTTTTATTAGTTTGGTGGCAAATGCCCAACAGCTGCGCAAACCAGTCCAACCTATCCGCACGGAACCAACTTAAAAAACAAAATCCACAATGCGTAAAGACTCAAAGGGCAGTGAAATGCCCGGCCCTTCCTTCCACAACTCCCGTTTCGGGTCGAACAGGCGAGGAGCGCGCTGCCAGCGCGGGTGACAGGCTCCAACCGCCGCCGAACCCGCACACGCGAGCCCTACGTGCCACCCAAGTCCCGCCCCGCAGCGGCGACGGCCCCGGCCAGCGTGACCGCGGGGCCGCCGCGCCGGGCTCCGCGCCGACCGCTCCGGGAAGGGCTTCGGGGAGACACCGCTACGCGTCCGAGGCGGCGGGGCGGGGCCGCCGCGACACCCCCGAGGGGACGGCGGCGTGCGGGGGGGGGTGGGAAACGGCGCGCGTCCGCCCCGCGCCACGGCCCTGTCAACGCCCGGCGGGTGGCCCGGCGCGGGGCGGCGCCCTCAACCGGCCCGCCGCACGGCCGTTGGCCCGGGCGTGGAGCAGCGCCGGCCCCTCCCTCCCCGGCCGCCGCCACAGCCCGCTTCCGCTCGCTCCAACTACGCCATTGCGGCCTAGCCGGGCGCCGCCCCTCCCCCGCGCCGCCATCTTCGCGGCCCGCCGCCCCCGCCATCTTTTTGGGCCGCCATACTTGCCCGGGCGGAGAAGATGGCGGCGCCCATCACACACATAAAACATGGCTTCCCTTCAAAACAAAAACATCCCGAGCCGCGGCGCGGCCGCTGGCACTCACCCGAGGACCACATGGTGACGGAGAACTCGCCCTCCAGGGTCTTGATCTGCACCTGCTTCTGCTCCCACTTCTTGTTGCCCGGGTCGGCGCCGCCGCCGCCCGCCGCGCCGGCCCCGCCGCCCAGGTAACTCTTCTTGGCGCTCTTCTTGCCGCCGCCCTTCTTGACGCGGCCGCCGCCCGACGACGAGCCGCCGCCGCTCTTGCCGGCCGCCGCCACGGTGACCAGCGTCTGCTCGATGTAGTCGTCGTCGCCGCCGGCCGGCGCGGGCACCGGGATGAGGATCTGGTCCTCGAACCCGTCCTCGGCGCGCAGCCCGTCCGAGTCGTCGCCACCCACCACCTCCTCGCGCGTCTGCACCAGGATCACCTCCTGGTGGTGGTGCACCTGGGTCGGGTCGTCGGTGACGAGCGGCTGCAGGGCGATCATGGGCGGGTGGTGGTGGTGGTGGTGGTGGTGGTGGTGGTGGTGGTGGCCGGCGTGCCCGTGGCCAACGCCGCCGCCGCCGCCGCCGTGGTCGCCCCCGCCGCCGTCCTCGTCGTCCTCGTCCTCCTCCTCCTCCTCGCCCACCACCGTGGTCTCGATGGTCTCCACCGGGATGGTCTCCACCTCGATCTCGTGCAGCTCCACGATCTCGGCGGGCATCTCGGAGCCGTCCGTGGCGATGTAGAGGGTGTCGCCCGAGGCCATGGCTGAGGGCTCCGCCGCCACGGCCGCGGCAGCCTCGGCTCCTGGGCTGCGGGAGGGCGGGCGGGCGAGGAGGCGGCCGGCCGTGGGGAAGGAAGGCAGAGGGAGGAAGGCGGCGGGCGGGCGGACGGGCGGGGGGGGGGAGGGGGCGGGCGGCGGGGGAAGGGGCGGGCGCGGCGGCCGCGGGGCTTCCCCGCCTCCCTAGCTCGGTGCGCCCCGCGCTCGCTCGGCCGCTGCTCGTCCTCCTGCTCCCCGCCTGGCTCGCCTCGCCTCAGCTGCCCGCCCTGGCCGCGCCTCCTCCCGCCCTCCGGGCCGGCGTTACGCTGCCCCCTTCCTCTCTGCGCCTCCGCCTCCTTCCACACAAATACCAACTCCTCAACCCGAACCCAGATCTCGCCGCCGCCGCCACACTCTGCTCCGGCTCGGCCTCGCGAGACTTCCGCGGGACGGGGGGGAGGGCGGGGGGGCCTCGCCCCGCCCCGCCTCGATCCCACTCGCTGTTGCCGGTTCTCGCTCCTCCCTCCCGGCCAATCGCGCGGCCCCGCCGGTCGCGGGGACCCCGCCTACTCACCCGGGCTCCTCCGGATTGGAGCCGCTGGGGGTAGGGGGCGTGGTGGCCCGCACGCGCGCTGGCTGGTTCCCCGGCGCGTGACGTCAGCTACGCGCCGCCGTCGCCTTACGGCTCTCCGCGTCGCGCGGACCCCGCCTTCCGCGGTGCAACAGTGACAAAACCGCCGCTTGGGGCCCGGGCCGCTTTCGGGAGTGGGGCGTCGGCGCTGCGCCTTCCGCCTCAGGAGCCGGCGGACGGTCCGCGTGACCCCGGCGCACGGTAACTAGAGCTGGGGTGAAGGGGGGCGCGCGCCTTGGGCTGCTGTGTTCCCGGCGGAGCGTGCGAACAGCGGCCGCGTCGCCGCAATAAAGTCTGCTCTGACCAGAAACGCCTGTGGTTGTGTTTTTGTTGTTTTGTTTTGTGTTTGTCCTCGACTCCTGGGTTCGGCGAGTGGTGGCACCGGGAGTGGGCGGCCGAGGGCAATGCCCGCCGCGGGTGCCGGGCCCGGGCCCTGCGGCTCGCGTGCTGGTGGGCGGCGCGCGCTGGGGCGATCGCGGCGTGCGGAAGCGGCGCGCGCTGGGGCGATCGCGGCGTGCGGAAGCGGCGCGCGCAGCCTAGGGTTCACCGTTGGAAGTGTGTCCGTTATTCTATTATGACCCGCGGAAACCGGGAACTGAGCCGTTGGGTGCCTGTTGGAACTGAGGGTCTCCGCCGCTCCAGTAGTGGGAATCCACTTTTTAGCGTTCTAAAAGTTCTTTACTGTCTCTGGATATCTTGACACAGGTTTCGCCTATTCCTCGGTGTCATAAATTTTTCTTTTGCTCACAAGTTTTTGCTTTTGCTTCCTTGAAAACTGCGCTTCTTTCTTTTGTTGGTTCCTCTTCATAGCTGTAACAGTTTTAGTTTCTCCGGTTACAAATCATCAAGTTAAATTGCTGAAGATACATTGTAGCCAAGTGTTTCTGCCCCTTAGCATGCTTTCGGTCAGACGACATGTAGTTTAAAGCAACATAAAGATTGCATGCTTTTTCAAGAGAATCACGAAAAGTCAGAAATTTGGGGAAGTATGTCGTTGTATACTTGCTTCTACATTCAACGTCCTACTTCATCTGTTGATCATTCTGGTGTACATTACATGCATCTTTGATCAAAGTTGTTGAAACAGTTACACATGTTACAATGTTGAAAGTAGAGTCCAAGCAAGATTTACCTGTGCATGCTTATAGTCTAGGGGGAGGGGGAATCGGTCAGAAGTTTAAGGCCGATCTTTGCTACATGTATACCTGAAGTTCTTTTCTGAACTAAGTAGCTTCCCAGTCTGCCCTGAAACTTGCCGTCTTCTGCTCCTAATTCCCAAGTGTAAAGTTACACATTGGTGCCGCCTCCACATCCTACCTTGGAGTCCTTTATCTGGGCATGAAGACAAATGATTGTTGACATGTGTTTAAAAAGGTATCTCTCACCGGGCGGTGGTGGTGCACGCCTTTAATCCCAGCACTCTGGAGGCAGAGGCAGGTGGATCTCTGTGAGTTTGAGCCCAGCCTGGTCTACAGAGCGAGTTCCAGGACAGCCTCCAAAGCCACAGAGAAACCCTGTCTTGAACCCCCCCCCAAAAAAAGGTATCTCTCTTACAGCAGTCGTTAAGTGCTGTTTCCCTTATGAGCACAGGTTTTGGCTGACCTGTCTTCAGTGTAGACCTGGGGGTGATTATTCACTTTTGGATTCTTCCATAAAGTAAGATGGAAACAAAGACTCCATCTGTGTGATAGTCTTGGCCATTTCGTAGTCCTTGGAACTCTTCAGAGTTTCCAGCTTGCTTAGTATCTTCCCATTTACTGGGGAGGTGAACCGGAACAAGCACAGGGTTGTGAACAAGATTGAAGGAATTTGACAGCTGTGCCAAGCTTTCGAGGGTCTTAGAAATCAGAGCTTGTTAATGGTTGAGAAAACGTGACGCATACTCAGAATGATTTCTTTGGCCACTTGGCCAGGACGGCAGCAGAACAGAGTTGTGTCCTCTTAACTGAGAACTTTTTTTTTTTTTTTTTTTTTGAGACAGGGTTTCTCTGTATTGTTTTGGAGGCTGTCCTGGAACTCGCTCTGTAGACCAGGCTGGCCTCGAACTCACAGAGATCCGCCTGCCTCTGCCTCCCGAGTGCTGGGATTAAAGGTGTGCGCCACCAACCCCTGGCTGAGAACTCTTCTGATGTCTCTGAAATTGTCACTTCCCATTTGTCTGGAACTTCCCTTAAATTCCTTTGATTTAAGGCATGAGTGTGGGAAGGCTGGAGGACCAGAGTAGACAGAAGAAACGCAGGTTAAGCAGGACCTGATACCTCTTATCCTTGCTGTTTAGTGAGGCAAACATTTCTTCACACAGTCACAACCCCAGCCTGTGTCCCTGCCTGCTTTCTTGCCTTCATTACTTTTTTTTTTTTAACAGGGTTACTATTACCTCTGCCTGCCCTGAAACATGTTATATAGACCAGGCTGGCCTAAAACTAAGATTCATTTGCCTCTACCTCCGAGAGCTAAGATTAAAAAGGCCCGTGTCCAGTCGTCCCATTCCCCCCCCTCCTTTGAATAAAATCAGGCCAACCATTAAATATGTTTGTAGACAAGCACGATGACTCATGGTTGTAATTTCAGTGCTTAGGAAGCTGAGACAGGAAGATCACTGAGAGTTACAGGCTAGCCTGGGACTCTGGGCCTTGTCTCAAAAAAAAAAATCTTACAATATCATAATCCTACATCTGGTAGCTTGGGGTTGGTTCAAGCCCTATATTGTATTCTTCCTATCGCTTTACAGCCAAGTAATTGGACTGCTTTGTGAAATTAGCAGGGTTTTTTGTTTTTGCATTTGCTATTTGAGACAGTCTTGTTATATAGCCATCCTTTTGCCTCAGCCTACCCAGTGCTGGGATTGCAGTACATACACCACTACATCTACCTGGTTGATTGTGCTTTTGGTTTAGTTCTAATGTCTAGTTATTTCTTAATTCAAATAGGAAAATGGGCCTCTGTTAAGAATTGAGACTATTAGAGCTAGACAGGAAAAAGTGGAACATAGTTTTAGCTGTAGGTGTTATGATAAAAGCTCATGGGGGACCTTGGCAGACCCCATGGCAGGCTGGAGTGACCAAGGTGGAGGGACAAACATGCCAGGCAGACAGCTTAAGTGAGTAGTTTATTAGAAAGGGAAGAGGAAGCGAGAGGAAAGAGAAAAGGGATAAAGAGACACAAAGACAGAGGACAGAAGAGAGACAGGAAAAGTCCTGTCTGCACCAGAGAAACAGCCCGAAAGAGAGTGGAAAAGTGCATAAGTGGGTGGGGGAGTGTCCTTTGCACCTGTGTGTGGACTATGCAACCACAGAACCCTGGGCTGAGTGTATTCTGCCAGGTGACAAGGGCAGATAAGCATAATGCCTGAATCCTTACAGTGGGAGCCAGAGATCTTTTAGATCTTAACATCTGGGCTGCAAAAGAGAAACTTAAACCCCTAAAAAATATGTATATGTATATATATATATGGTTTGGAGTTTGGCTCAGGGTGAAATGATTAACTGTTCATGAAGCATCATATGTCATGTCTGTAAACCAACATTATTTACTCAATATTTCATTTTGTACAGCCTTGGCCAAATTCTTCTCAGTCAAATGGCTTGTGGTGAATGAATCTGACTATTGCTCATAAATAAAAGAAAGTTGAAATTTTATCACAACTTCTATTTTTCTTTGTTAATACATTGCTTTCTGATGGATACATAATACTGTGTTTCATGTGACATTTTCATGCATGTACATAATGTATTTCAATAAACATATACTCATCCCTCTATCAGTTTCTTCAATCCTGCTCCAGTTAAACCCCACTTCCTCTTCCCAACTAGCCCCTTACTTTCATGTCCTATGTGTCTATGTCTATCTTTTGATAAGTTGCATGCCCATGGTAGTGTCTGTAAGCACATATTGCATCGCTGTTGCAATATGAAATTGCAGGGAGTTGTTTTCGTGTGTGTGTGTGTGTGTGTGTGTGTGTGTGGTAGGTCAGCATGGTAAAGTGGCAAGAGTTTGTACAGATGGGAGTTACCTGGTCCTCTCTGCCAGGGATTTTGTGTCCAGCACCTGTGTGAGGCCAGAGGGATAGATGCTTTAATGAACAGGCAACCTGTGGGCCAGAGAGGAGGTTGGCTATGAACACATTGTTCACCAGTACTTCCCTAGTTTTTATTTATCATTATTCTTAAATTATGAGGGGTGTTGAGCACATGAGTACAGGTGCCCACAGAAGCCAGAGGTGCCAGATCCCCAATAGCTAGCTAGGTCTTGTGGGTAAGCAACCACCAATGAATGGAGGTACTAGGAACTGAACTTGTGTTCTCTGCAAGAGCAGGGCATGCTCCTAGTCACAGAACCATTTCTCCAGCCCTCTTACCTATCTCTGAGGAAGACCAGAGAGGTTGAGGGCAGGATCCAGCCTAGCTTCATAGATTAAAGACCCCTGAAAGGAAGGAGCACCCCAGCTGTGACTTGGAAGTGGAGCAGAGTG